CTACTACTATTGTTGTTGTTATTATCATTATTATTAATATTATTATTGTTATTGTTATTGTTATTGTAAAAAATGCATATTTTTAGTGCGAGACGTTTTGCACATAATGTGCAAAGGATATTTTAAATTTTGCTTCTGTATAAGGGTTTTAAATAAACTGACATTACTATAATCAATGGGTGTTACGCTACAATGTCGATGTTTGATTATGTGTGGGTCAGGGTTGGAGATATTGCCGAACGGGATTTCACTACCGACAGACTACACGGGCCGCAGTACTGGGGAGGCTTACGTTCAATTTGTTAACAAAGATGTTGCGGAGCGCGCTCTGCAGAAACACAAGGAAAAGATAGGACACAGGTGGGGCACTGACGCTAGCTGGGTTTGGGTATACTTACGACTTTTCAATATCATTTTATGATCGTAGTACATGTAGGTATATAAATTTTGTTAGTAAATAGCGGGAGCGAATTTTTATATAGATGCAGTTTTTTTATTTAATAAACTCTATTTAATAAATGAGCAAATATTTTAATAAAAATAAATTATATTTAAATAATAATATTTATTGTTACAGTATATAGTTACAAAATGTATTTTAAACACATATTATAAATTACATTCGTTATTTTATTTATATGCTAATATAGAAATTAATCGAATAAGGAAACTGCTTCTCTTTGAACAAAAAGAAAGTTAGTCGTACGTAAGCGAAAGTACTGTTGGCCCAACTAAAACCTATGGGTGGGTGCCGGGCGGGAGGTACCCCCTTACATCACCAAATCCCATGGGAAGTGGGTAGGGCTAACCCAGGATGGGTGGGCGCTACAGAGGTAGTAATCATCGATCTAATTTGGCACAACTATTCGACAATTGCACAATTGTACGTTTTATGCAAAACAATATAATAATTTAAATTAAAAGGCTTTGCACAATTTTTCTCTAAAAATCACTATGTATAGTTGATTCATATAGCTCTTTAATTGCACGGAAATATTATATTATAATATATAAAATAAAATGCGCTATTTTTAATTATTTTAGCTTTCTAGATTTTTTTCTTTTCCTTTCTTTCTTTTTTTAATAAAAATATAATATGTATCTGAATATAAAACATTTTATTTTATTTGTATCGCTTCTCGATACTTATTATTTAATCTCTTCTTTCTCTTTTTCTCTTATTGCATAAAGTGCAATTGTAATTGTCATATACCTAAGGATCATCAACATCTCAATGGATAATGGTGATATCAGAATGCAATGTCACCGAGGGAGGGTATCTACACACAGGTTTAATAAATATGCGGAGGTGTAGTATGAACAGTTAATCCATTACAAAATTTTCAATATGGATTTTTTCCATAAGCCATTTATCATTTTTTTCCTTTTATTTTTAATATTTTTTTAATGTTTAAAACATAAAACATAAATAATTGATTAGTACCGGTATAAAATGGTTTATTTTACATTCGTACCGTTATTTATATCTTCCTTCGTTTAAAAATCTTATGCTCGTTGATATTTTTGCATCAAATTTTCTCTTATTTGAGAAGGCAGCCGACTATACGAACGGCAATAATATTCATATGAAAATAATAATAATTATAATATCAATCTTAACAGATACATCGAAATCTTCCGAAGCAGTTTATCTGAAGTACGTGCTAGTATTGGTCCGAAAATGCGAGGACCAATGGGAGGTTTCAATCAGAGACCTGCTCCTTATGACCGTGGTTCCCGTTTCGGAGGGATGAATCGTTTCAGCAATAATAGTAGAGGTTCTAGAAATAGAGGTATTACCAATTCATTAATTATTTAAAATAGAAAGTAAGAATTATAGTAATGCATATTTAATTAATGTAATTTTAACTTTTAAGTTTAACAATTTTCCTACTTAGTTAATGCAGAGTTTATTAATTCTTTATATTTTTATAAAAAGAGTTATTATATTATCTGTTTTTTTAATGTTTATCATTCTCACCTGCAATAGATTTGAATAAAATATAAAATTCCAGAATATTTATAATTAATTAAATCTAATCCCATCAGATTAAATTGATATCAACTGATATCAATTAAACAAGCATTACTATATATTAAATTTTTTCTTTATGTATTATCAATATTTGATATTTTAGATTTTGATGGTGGTCCATGGGGAAGCGGTAATAATTTTGATTCACGTGGTGGAAATATGGGAATGAGAGGAGGTTTGGATATGAAAGGTGGAAATTTCAGAGGTAGCGGTGATACATGGGGTGGTAATTCCGGTATTCATAGTATACACATGCGTGGTTTGCCATTTAAAGCTACTGAACAAGATATAGCTGATGTAGGTTTCAAATTGATTAAATCATTAAATACTTCTCTCCCTTTCTTCCCCCTCCTCCTCTCTCTCTCTTTCTCTCTCTCAATGACATTTTATTGTATAATTTTAGTTCTTTAGACCTATTGAACCAGTGAATGTACGAATTATTCTTGAAAATGGTGGACGTCCTTCTGGAGAAGCTGATGTGGAATTTGCAACTCATGAAGAGGCTGTTAAAGCCATGTCCAAGGTTAATTAAATTTAATTGTCATTGTAATTTTCAATTATTATCTTAACATTTCTATTATATATTATATTATTATAGGACAAAAGTCATATGTCACATAGATATATTGAATTATTTTTAAATTCAACTGGTGGTTCAAGTGGAATGTCATTAGGTGGCATTGGAAATTTTTGTGGAGGTACGCCTTTTGCTTTTTTATTATTATTTTCTTTTTTCTTTATTTTTTGTGCTTTCATTAGCATACTAATTTTGTATTCCTTTTTAAATTATTTCTTATTTTACAATTATTTTATGGATATTATTAATATTGATATAATTAATATATACAATACAATATAATATATATTGTAATTTTATATTTATATGTTAGGTTTAGGTAACAACTTCAGGCCAGGATATTCTCCAAATAGGGGTTTCAGCTCTCAATTAGGAGGAAGTAATTATAACAGTTTTTGAGGCCGGATGTCGCGTTTTCTACGCTATCGACGATAAAACATTTCGTAAATCAAATATTTAATATACTGAATTATAATTACAGTAAAATTTCGTTTTCGCATTCAATCAAGGATTGATTACTATTGTTTCATTATTTTTACAAATTACATAAGTTTATGTTTTATTTTCTAATATTAATATAATATTACTGGTAATAACATTAGTCAAATATTCTTTTATGATCAATTTTCATTGATCAGAATTCATTATAATTGTTTCATCTTTTTTTTCATTTATGTTCAATAAAAATATTGAACTTTATATATTATAAATTATAATCTTAAATTGTATAATTTCTATTTCTATCAAATTTAAACAATCATAAAAAGTAAATTATATTTTTCAAAATCAGCATAATTTTCTTAAGTCAGAAAAATTATTTCATATTTTTTTATTTTTTTTATTAATATTGATATTATATCCAGTTTACATTGTACATTCGCTATTTTATTAAGATCTTACAAAAGTGTTCCAAATTCTAATATTGCAGGATAAGCACATTAATAAATTATATAATAAATAGCTGCATCAAATTATTATTAAAATTAGAAGTAATGTTTACAATCATAAAGATAGATAGTTCATATTGAAATGGAAATGACAATTACGATTTATCATATTGTAATATATTTATCTAAATAATAATTCATATTAATAACATAAGTTACATATAGTTTGTGTTAATTCTTTTAAACAAAACTAACTATTATATTTAACTATTCTAAGTGATATGAAAAATATTTCGACTATAAAATCTTTAATAATATTCATATAATATTGTGGAAAAAAAGAAAAATATTTAAAAATCCAGCAAATATCAAATATTGAATTTATTTTATTTTTAGCATTTATGAAAAATATGTTTTTGAATCAATTATACTCATGTTTAATTTTACGAATTTTTCTAAAAAATATATTAAGTTAAAAAGGGAATATATATATATATTAAACAACATTATAAAGAAAAATAAGAAATATTTTTCTTTATAATGAAAATGTAAACAAAACAAAGAAATGATTGTATTTATTTAAGATCTTATTTTTTGTAAGTGAAAGAAGTCTATATTTCATATAATAATAATAAAGTGTATCCTTACAAATTTATCTTATGGATGAAATTAATAAGAATAACATATGATTAATATTGACCTGTTTATAAATAATGACCTGTTTTATAAAGCATAATAAATATTATCTTTATAATTGAAGGCTTTCATTTATATCATAATATGATATATTATATATTATCAGTATAATAATGCTTAATAATAAACTTTTTATTAAATTTAAAATATAATTTTTTTTTAAAGATATAAAATTTTTATTTTTTGAATATATAAATTTTTATCGATAAAACATATCTTTAAATTGTAACTAAATCATAAATAAATAAATAATTTTGCTTATAATCAATATCATGAATATATATATATATATAAATGATAAATAGTACAAAGAACTAGTGTATTCATTTAAGATGCGGCACCATATCGAGCAATTGGAATTTATTAATGAATATGTATATGTGTGTATATATGCTAGTAAGGAATATTAAAGTAATTTAGTTTTATGAAACAATTATATTGTCAATTATGAATTATTATGCAGAAAAGAATAATTTATTATAATTAATGTAGAAAAATAATTATCTTAATATGATAGTTTGAATGCGTGATAACAGCAGATTTTATAAAGATAAGATATAATTCGAGAAATTTGATATTAATTTTTCAATGTAAGTATAAAAAATCATTTACATGTTTTGATACATAAAATAAATTATATAGTTCATTTATTTAAATATAAATTCAATATTTTTAATGTTACTAATAAAAATATTGTAATATAAAAAAATAACATTTTATGATTTTTGTTATTTTAATATCTATATTTGATTCATGTTTATATAAATATCGTTCGTGTTTTTGCACTTCTAATTATTTTATAAAATAAAATTTGTAATATTACGAAATAAAAATACTATCATATTTTGTATTCATTCAATAAAACTTTTAAAGTCAGGTTAATTAAGAATTATGTCAAGTAACTTATACAAAACTCGTTAAACTACAGAGGGCAGAATTTCACGCTCAAATTTAAAATCAAATATTTGTTCGGCTTTACTTATTGATAAGAAAAGATTAAATTTTTTTATCAATTTTATAACATTAGTAATATTCATTTATAAGTATCTTATCTATTAGAATACGTATAAAAGTGTAAAGTTAACATTTATTAAATTTATTCATTTTCATTTTTATCTAAATAACAAAATTACTAATTTTACATTAAATTAATAATAAAATTATTAATGTAGAATAATTATTTAAGATTTTATTTTATATAGTTATTTAATTATTATTTAAGTAATAATAACATACTATTGAATTAGTTCTTGATAATTTTATAAAATATTACTTAATGATATATAATATAAAATTATAAAATTTTTATTTAATTATTTTTTGTTTTTTGAATATTTTATCATTTTTGTTATATGATTTAAGTTTATTTTATTTATTTATATATATTTAATTGATTAATTTAAAACTTTTAAAGCAATAAAATGTGAAGTAGGAAATAACATATAACACAATGGAAAATAAAACAGATATTTTTAATGATCAAAGTGAAGACAATGAGACTCAATATATTAATAGTGAAAGGTATAAATATATAATCTTTTTTATTTTTATTGAAATAGAAAATTAATATTGTTTCATACATTTCTAGATACAATGATGCCAATGAAAGACAACATTTTTTGCTTCCTAATACATATTCACATTCGCCAAAAATACCAATAGAATATATTAAAAGAACAAATATAAAACGATACAATCCAGCTTTAAGAAATCTTATACCAATACGTCGCAAAAATAAGTGTGTAATATATATTTAATTTTAAAGTGAAAAAAATTATTTTTAAATAATAATAAAAAAAAATTGTTTTTTAAAAAATTTTTAAATAATATTTTACTGTATATATTTTAGAAATAAGGAATGTACGCCAGCAGATAATGCTGGTTTGTTTTCATATATTTTTTACACATGGTTAACACCATATATATGGAAAGCATACAAAAATGGTATTGACTTTACGAATATTCCATATATTTCTACTTATGAAAGTTCTAAATATAATACTCATAGGTAACTGCATCAATTTGAATATAATTACAATATAATAATAATAAAATAATATTAATATAATATAATATAATATATTATATATTATATAATATAATATATTATAT